CACCTACCCATTCAGGTGGGATTTCAAGTGAGGAACCCTGGATGGATGAAGAATAAATTAGAACCACCTTTGGCCAAAACAGGCATCAGTTTCTCAAGGATATTATCTGTCTATTGTTGTCCCTTGCTGAGTTCCCTTTTGTAAATGTAGCACTTAGAAAATTAGTTTTCTTTTCTACCTCCCCTCTCCCCTCCTTCTCCCCCAATTTGGCAAAAGTTCCTATTTGGATGGTTTGTATTATTTTATTTTATTTTATTTTTTAAAATTTATGTTTTACATCATTGTTCATTTTTCAACAATGTTTGCTTTCCACTACCCCCCCGCCCCGCCCCCAGTGTAGTCCCCATAGAGTTTCCTTCCCCAACGCACCCGTGCACCATCACCTCAGTCCCCTGCTCCTCCCTCCCTCCCCCTGATCCCTCTCCCTCCTACTCCCCTGCAGGATGGCTCTGGTTTATAATTGTCTGTTTTTGCTTTGTTGTGTTTTGTACTGTTATTATTTTTGTTACACCGATGTCTTATTTGGGTCCCCTATATTCCTGCTGTAAGTGAAACCATCAATATTTTTCTTTTTTCCTTCTGGCTTATTTCACTGAACATTATTCCTTCTAGCTCCATCCACATTGCTGCGAGTGGCATGTGTTTATCTTTTTTTTTTTTTTTTTTAAAGATTTATTTATTTATTTTTTTATACAAGAATCGGGTGGGAGGGTGAGAGGATTCACCAGAGACAGAGCGGGGAGCAGAACAGGCAGACTGACGAAATACAGCAACAAGTGAAAAAGGTGAATAAAATCGAGTCCTACTATGTTCTATATCCCCAGCTGGGTTACTGATTTTTAGGCTTGTAGACCATCTCCCTTTTCATTTAAGTGCTGTTGTGTAGAGCACCCCAAGTCAGCTGTGGGGCTCAGGGGGTTGGGCCATGGGCAGGAAATCAGTGGGGGTTGGGGCAGGGAATCACTTGAGGAAGGGCTGCTGCCTTGAGCAGGGCCTTAATGTGGAAAAAAGTGTGTGTAGCTGGGTAGAGGGAGAGGGGCATGAGGGGTGGGTGGGGACAGTGTCTGCAATTGCTGCCCTAAGATCTAGCAAGGGTAAACCTCTTCAGGAGGTAGTGTTCAAGGATTATTCTTTAGTGCCTATCTTGATTTTTTTAAAATGTGATTTATACTGAGGCACAGAATAAATAGAATCACATCCTGCTTACAATTTACAAGGCTGATTTCACTTATTGTTACATTTTCCGTTCTCTCTCTCTCTTATACACACACGCACACACAGGGCTAACATTAAAATCTGAGGTAGGATGTCGGTGCTGTCGTGAAGAAGATGGGGTTCATAGCCTGTGGGTCTGCTACTCCTAAGTGGCCTGTTCGGCCACCATTTTGTCACCTGTAGCTCTAAATCCTAAGCAAGGTCAAAATGGCCCAGTCAGTTAGGTACAGGAACACAACCCTGCAAGGTTCCCTTCAAATTAAACAAGAGCACAAAGCTGGATCATGCTGGGAAGGCTCTGCATCACGAGGTATGACCAGAAACTCCAGGGGGGCTGACGACCAATGCATAACACATACTCCCACTTATACATCACGAGGTATGACCGGGAACACTTGGGGGCCCTCCTGAGGGCTGATATATAACAAGGGACCCCAGAAGCTGATCAGTGGAAAGCCTTGTTGATAAGATTAGAATCATGGCTGGGGGATTAGGGCATGATCTCAATGACAATACTGAGTCATCAAGCAGATGAGAAATGCCTGGAGGGCAGACCCACAATCTGTGATCTTCTTAACCTCCTTTCCCTTTCCTTTTGCTCCTCCCACTTACAACCAATGCTGTGTATCAATAAAAAGGACAGGATCTTGCTCTTCAGCAGCATCCTGCATTGTGTAGCCTGCTCCACGACTCCCGGCTCTTTGTCAGTGTGGTGTTGCCCGATGCAACAATAGCCCCCTGGACTGAAGGTTGCCAGGTTAAATTTTTATCTCAGATAAACAAGCATCTATTTCATATAAATATTTTGATTTCCTTTACCTGGCAACTCTGCTGGACCCCTGATTTATGAGAAAAAAGCTTAGATTATGCCTTATTCCTTCCCTGGAGAGTGGTAGAGAAGGGGTGTGGGGAGATGGGGAAATGGGGAGATTATTGCTCCTAACGCATCTCTCCCCGGAGCATAAAGCCCGTTGGGACTGCCTTTCTCCAATCATAAACTTTCACTGCCAATTTGCTTTCTATCTCTCCAATTTTTTCCCTTTTTGAGGGAATTCACTCTTGCTCTCTCCTATTTGCCTGGAATTTACATATAATGAACCTCCTCATGGTCTCCTTAGCAACGGGGTGCTCACCAGCAACTTTCTCAAACAGCCTCTGACAGAAGCTCTGTCTAACTCTCCTAGAAGCGGTTGGTAGTGCTTCCCACTCAGCATTTTTAAAAGAACATTTAAACATTTTTAAAAGAAAATTTTGGAAACTAGTTTTTTCACGTATTGACTTCTCCTCTTTCCATTTTGGGGTAGAAGGGCCCTTGACATTTTTCATGTAGAGAATAGGAGCTGCCTTTTCCTCAGCTCTTGTTCTTGGGAGACATGGTCTGGAGGGAAGTTTCCAGATTTTGTTGAATGGTCACACAAGAGCTGAGGAGGCCCAAGGGCTTCCAGGGGTGATGATGTCCACACTTAGGAGAAGGAAAGACAAAGACCCTTTTGTCATGCTCCTCTTACATCTTGTACTTTGATTTTGTTTACAAAGTTGCATTTATTACAAAATAATTAATTCATGTTTTAAAAAGTATTATTATTAATCAAAGACATACAAGAGGCCATCAGCACTACCACTGAGCTACCCAGCTTTTTCCAAGGAGTGGATACGATTCCAATTGAAGGCAAAGATGCTCTGCATTTTAATTAGCCTGAGTGCTGTCATGCTCTGCAAATGTGTAGAAGGTTCCTTCCTTTATGATTTGAAAATACCAAAACAAAAGACTCCTTTACTGCCTGCAATAATGCTGGGGTGGAGCCGAACGTGGAATGGAAAATGAGGGGTTGAGGGAGAGAGAACAAAGTGCAGGGTTGTTTTGAGGGGGACTCCACCAATAAGCACACTATAGTACTTTGGTACAATAGGGTGATTTAAGATTTGACATCCAGCTGCCTCTTCTGCCACTTTTTCCCTGTCTATAAAATGAGACTGATCACTGTAAGAAGGAACTCCATTGTGGATGCAGAGAACATAAAATCCAACTCAAACTGAGGTGTTACCTTTCTAATTCCCATTTCTGAGCAATGTTGGCTTCATCATGACATAATTATAATATGGCCGTCAACCAGCCCTGGAGCTAGAAACATTCTCATGGACAGTGGCCAAGTGTCTCAACTGGAAATGCTCACAGAAGGATGAGAAAATTTCCATCACAAAGCCCTCATCAAAACTCTCCCAGGGTTCATGGACTGATTTAAATGATGTGACCACATCCGAATGAATTAGGGCCCAGGGTGCAGCTCCATTGGTCATATTGGGGCTGAGGTACTTAGCCCTTCCCTAGAGCAGAAGTGGAGTTAGCTCCAAGGAAGATGCCTGAGAAGAGATCAGGATCCTCATGACAGAGTTCTGAGGATCGAAGGAGATAATGCCTGCAAAGTGCCATGTGCTGCATACAGTGAGTACATGATAAATGTTAGTAATTTTGTGACTATTATTATTTTCTCAATGAAATCTGATTAACCAGCAGTCTTACAAAAATATTTATTCTACAGAAAATGTTTTTGTCCATATCACTTCATCATCACCCCATCATCATCATCATTATCACTATCACCAACATCAGCATCACCATCATGACCATCGTTATCACCATCATCATCACTACAATATTCATTACCATCAACACACTCATTGGCTGAATGCCTGTTGTATGCTGGCACCATTCAGATGCTCTGCATAGCTATACCTAATCCCTGGAACAACTTGTAAAATGGCCTATCACTCATTACCTACCTCAAATACATGTTCCCCCTATTCCTTACAATTTCATTTAGCCTGGCAAGGCGCTAAAAATGTCTGCATTAATAAAAACATACCCTGCCCCTTTTAGGTGCGATGATCTAAAATTGTTGAACAATTAGAAATAGAATATTCTAAAAAATGACATAGATAAAAAAAAAAAAATTACATTACCAGCCTCTTTTTCAGCTAGGTGTGGTCATGTGTCATGTTCTAGTGAATGAGATGTGAGAGGAAGTTCTTCCCAAGACTTCTGGGAAATATTTGCCTTTTGGACACAGACACCATCTATTTCTCCTCCTGCTACTTTCACCTTTTTCCTGCCCATAACCTGGATTAGAGGCTGTGAAGGCACAACTATCTCATGACCATGAAGATGAAAGTGACCCACTTGCAGTCAGAAAGGAGGTTTAGGACAGCAAGAATGTTGTGGGACAATTTACCAGCCCTTGTGACCTCCTCCAGACATCTTGTTATGTGCTGAGGTATGGAGAAAAGCATTTTGCTGAAGCCACTGACTATGGGCTTCTGCTACATGCAAGTGAACACAACTCCTGACAGGCTATTACTAGGCCTGATACACCCTTGATATATAACATAATCCAGGCCAGGGAGTGACTCACAGAATTCAAAGAGACTCCAAAACCAAGGTTCCCACCTCAAAGAAGGTAGGAAATTTTGACATGTTATATGGATGAACACGCTAAGCAAACTAAGTCAGTCAAAAGGATAACTATTAATACAATTCAGCTGATGTGAATTTCCCTCAAATTCATAGAGACAGAAAGTAGGACAGTGGATGCCAGGGCTGCAGGAAGGGGACAATAGGGAGTTCATATTTAATGGGGGCAGGGTTTAGTTTGGGAAGATGAAAAAGTTCTGGAGGTGAATGTGGTGATGATTTGCACAGCAAAGTGATTGTACTCAATGCCACTGAATTGTGCATTCACCATGGTTAAAATGGTCAAGTTGACACCATGTATATTTGCCACAGTAGAAAAAGTTAAATGTGGTTATTTTAGTGAACAAAAAACAAAGCCAAAACCCCTACGCTCCCTCCAATGCCTGCCTCATAAAGAATACATCCTGACCTCTCCCTTGGGTCTTTGGATTTTAGTCTACACCATGGCTGTTGGGGCTGGCACCACTCTGCCCCCAGGGCAGGACTGGGGACAGATCGGACTCTGCTCACAGCTCTCAAGATAGAAGCTGTATATCTTGTGTCTCAGGAGGTAGAGCAACAGGGCCTGGGACTGAACCTCAGAAGAGAGACAGTGGCAACCCCAAAGTGAGAGGTCTGGGATAACATTCTCCAGAGGAAACACTTCCAGAGTGCATACATTGACATTCAAATCTCCCCGAAAATATTCAAAGAGTCACCAAGGTCCTGATTTGGGGGAGATGCTCTCCCTTTCCCTGAGGGAAAATGTCATTGCTCTGCTTCCTAAATAGAACCCGCCACTCACTCCTCACCCCAGGATCACCGAGGCATCTTGATTAGGTTAAAGGGTTTACATATCTTTCCTCCTCAAATTTCATTCTTCATCTCTGCTGATATTTCAGAATGAGGGTTGACACTTTGAGCCACTTATTTTCTTCTTGGGAAGAGGGTACTTAAAAAAAGTCAATTTCACTCTCTGGCATTTAAAACAGATCTCTCTAGCCTGAGGATGATAAAAGACAGGGAAAGAGAAAAGAGAAAAGTTAGGGTTCATTTAGGACACGGAATCTCAACCCTGGCTATCCCTGGGATATCCTGAGGAGTTTTGATCTTTAGATCTTTCCTCCTGGGTGAAACTTTCCTCCTGGGTGAAGCAAAAAGGGGCTGGGAAGGGAAATCTAATTAGAAAGCAGATCACCCACCCACAGGTGATCAAAATTCAGAGTGTACCCAAGATTTGAGGTGCCCTACCCACACCTCAGACAAATTAAATCAGAACCTCTCAGAGAGGAATCCAGGCCTCAGTATTTTTACAGTCCCCCAGGGGATTACAATGTGTGGTCACATAGGAAGGCCAGGGCTTTGGGATCTTGACTCACAATATGGGGTCCACAGACCAGCAGCATCACATCACTGGGGACTGGCTAGGAAAGCAGATGGGGCCCCATCACTGGGATTGGAGTCTACATGTTAACAAGATTCTCAGCTGTGCTTGTGCACATTAGAGTGCAGGAAGCAATGGGTGAGCTAGCCATCAGAAGGAAGCTTCATTAGTGCCAACAATGCTAGACTCATTATCCTCAACTCTAGTTATTCTCCAACTTCTCCGACCCAGTGATATTGGTCATTTCAGGGGGTGTGTGGTATCCCAAAGTCAACTCTGACTTCTTTATCATGACATGACACGGAGAATTGGTTGTATGCAGAGTTTTGCAACTGTTCTAGTACCAAATGGCCATCCGTTGGGCCAACTAATGCCAAGATTATAATAATTTGTAATAATAATTTCATTCATTGATAACTTACTATGTGCCTGGCACTTGGGATATGGTGCCTCATTGAATCTTTCTGGCAACCATGTAAGTCAAAACTAACTACTGTCCCCAATGTCTAGCTAACAGATGCTCCCAGGAAGAAGTCAGTGTTCAACAAGGCCATACAGCTGTTGTGCAGTGACTGGTCTCTCTCCTCCCCACTGGACGCAGGAATCTGATGGTGTCATCCTCCAGGAAGACAATAAATGATTATTGTGTTAAGCCAGATGTGTTGGTGTGATTGATTATGCAGTAATTGAAAATATAAGGATCATTGCCACTTTCCTTCAGAATTGTCTTTCAGAAATGCTCTAAAAATGGTGAAGGTGAGTCTGAAGGAACAAGTTTTTCTGGATCCGGCGGATTCTTCAAAGTTCCTATGACAGTTGGAAATTCTCTTGGTGAGAATGTACGTGAAATTATATAGACAATTACTAGGCATATCATTGTGGTGTCCAAACTTACACTCACTGTCCTCCTGTCTAGCATCCTTCCCTCCATTCCAACATGTCAGGTCTTTGATAATTCATGTTCTTTTAAGAAAGAAACCGAGGGTCATAACCTCCCAGGGCTGACATGCTGACCAGGTACCTGATATTGACACGAGACCACCTACCTTTGGCTTTCCTTCCAGACCGCCTGCCAGGAGGGGTAGCTCACTTTGAATTTTGATCACCTGTGGATGGGTGATATGCTTTCTAATTAGACTTCCCAGCCCAGCCCCTTTTGCTGAAAGTTTCACGGAGGAGGAAAGATCTGAAGCATTACTGTCAAAGGTTATAGAAGCATTTATGTGGAAAGTGAGGTCTTGCTTAATAATCAGCCAAAAAGGAAAAAAAGGAGGAAGTATTTGCCTTAGGCTGCCATCCTGCACTGTATCATTTATATAAAATGGAACATAAGTTTCTGTTTTCTGAAAAGGGGACAAGTTACTGCTGATAAGCAGATCACCATCCATCACCATTTGCATACAAATTAAATGCTTTCTCATCTCTCCAAGTGGGAGCAAAGTTGGTTTATTGTTCTAAGAAGCAGGAAACTCTTCTCAAGTAGCCTTTATATATCTGTCAGAACTTTTTGGATGCAAATGATAGACCCATCCCAGGCCTGATAGGCTTAAGCAAAACAGGTAGCTTTCTTATCTGTCTAATTGAACCATAACAGTAGATAAGAGTTCAGCCTTTTAAAAAAAAGAATTCAAATGCCATCTTCGGTGTTCTTTCCTCTTTGCTTTAAACTAACAGCCTCCCTGCAAGGTCAAACCCACAGTCAAATGGATGCCCCTCAGCTGTATATCCAGCTCTCCTGTTGCCATGTGGCTATGTGGCAGGGCTCTCGAACTGAGTAGCTGAAATCTTAGTTCATGATGTCACAGCACAACCCAACCACAGCAGTCTACACCTGTGCTGGGAGGCAGTGGTATGTTAAGCAAAACGGATCCTGAGAGCCCATCATTTAAAATACCCCCTTTGGGCCTCCCCGGTGGCGCAGCGGTTGAGCGCTGGGTTGCGAAGCTGCCCGCGGCCTCTGCGGCGCCGGTTCGATCCCCGGCTGCTCCCTGGCCACCGGAGGAGGGTCCCGCATGGCACGCGGACCTCTCCTGCCGCCCGCTGCTCCCCTCAGCAGTGTACTTTGGTCCTTCTGCCCATTCTGCTCCTCGCTCTGGCTCTGGTGAATTCTCTCACCCTCCCGCGCTTCTGACTGTACCCAGTGCATGTATAAACAAAACAAACAAATAAATGAATAAATGAAAGAAGACATGCCTCTATATAAAAAAAAAGAATTAAAAAAAATAAAAATAAATAAATAAAATACCCCCTTCCTTTCTAAGATAGAATTATTTTCTATTACAATCACATAATAATCATTTCTCGAATTATCCTTTAGTTTTAAAATAGTAACGACTAAAAAAATAAATTTTTATTTTGAAGATATTGTTTGAATTCAGTAAAATAGCTTTTGTGTACACTAACACTTGCACATACCAACAAAAATAGGGTACTTCTCTGTTCTCCATCTGTTTCACTGTATTAATGGTGAAAACAAAAACTCCAAGAGGTCATAGTGGCAGAATCCAAGTAGCTCAGAACGTGTTTCTTTGTTTCCAAATTACCTTTATTTTGAATCTACCCTTTAAACACAGGAATAGGTAATCCCACAGGAGTTGGAGACCTGACCTACACCCCAAATGAGCCCAACCAATTTTTTATAAATATATATTTTAAATTTATTTTTTTTATTTTTATATTCCCCATACAATTGCAACCCCCTGATTTTGACCCCAAACCCTCCTTTCCCTGCACCCCCACCCCCAAGTGTGTCTCTGGTTCATAGTTGTTTGTTAATTTTGATTTTTTTCTTTCTTAAAGTTATTCTTTTCCTGGCCCCTTATTTAGGTTTTCTAGATTCCTGCTATGAGTGAGACCCTCTGGTATTTTTTTTCTTTCTGGCTTATTTCGCTGAGCATGATCCCTTCTAGCTCCATCCATGTTGCTGCAAATTGCATGTGTTTATCTTTTTTGAATGCTGAGTAATATTCCATGGTGTATATGTACCACATCTTCTTGATCCAGTCATCTATTTTTGGGCATTTGGGTTGTTTCCAAAGCTTAGCTATTGTAAATTGTGCTGCTATAAACATAGGGGTGCAGGTGCTCTTTGGAATTAATGTTTCTGTGTCCTTTGGAACCCAAACAATTTTGAACCTTGATGGACTTCCTCTTGTACTGAGTGCTTACTGCTGAGTTCCTAGGTGGTGGGGACCAGCTGTTACCTGGGACTTCTGCAATTCACCCTCCAATATTTGTTAGAGGACAGGTCAGATAAACATGCCACTGAAGAGACATGATTACAACGGCATAACTGCAGCAACTGTTAGAACTTTGACCACAGACAGGCTGTGGGGGCACAAAGGTGATCACTGGCCCTGGGTAGGGTTGTGGCAATAATAAAAGCAGGTAGGTGGTTTCATTGCTGTTTTAAAATTCTCTATGGACAAAGCACCCTTATTGTGGTCCCTGGGGCATGGTTTCTACCCTTGTCATGCCATCCCTAGGAGGATCAAAGAATGAGTCATCCAGGTTGAGCTTGGAGACAAGGCCCTGGGCATATTTTTCAAATGAACAGGTATTAATTGTCTAGTGATTTTGTGGCATTCTGTAAGATACTCTGTTTGAAGATCTTTGCTGCCCAGACTCCAAGGGCAGTGCTCTGGATGATGACCCCCAAGATAACTTGTGGTCCCCCAGTGATAGCCTGTTCTGTAAACCTTCACACAGACAGAACTCTGGCTCCACCCAGCAGAGGCCCTTCCAGCTGCCAGCGTGCAGGCTTGTGGAAGACACTTTACATGTTGTCAGGCTGCAGCCTCATTTCCCAGTCTTTAAAATGCGTTTAAATATTTCAAATCATCTCTAAATTTTTTAGAATTCATAAATTTGAAACTGTAACAAGATCATAAAAGAAAAGGCTTGCTCCCAACCAATAGGAAACAAAATTGACTTATTTATATGTTTATCATTTATTTCTATTCCCCACCTGGATAGTCCGTGGAGATTTGATTTCTCATTTCCTGGAGAATCTAGACAGAAAGCAGAACTTGGTGTTAAATAATCTTTACTCTACACCTGTTCAAACTACCTGCAAGACACTAGTCATTTGTCCTTATGCACAAACATCAATCCAGGGAACATGAAATTTTAACTATCAATAAATATCCCAACATCCACACTCATGGAGCCTCTAATTCCAGCATCAAAATGCAGATAGACTTAAATTGATATCTGGATTTATGACAAAAGGAATCTCATCTCAAAGCCCCTCCCAGGTAAGCCTGGGAACTAGGAATAAAATATTCGGGATGATGCCTGCTTCTCTCTGCCCATTTCTACCAGGTTGGTCCTGTAATCCTTTTTAATTAATAATAAACATTGCAGGACTTACCCCTCCCATTTAAATTATGTTTGAAATGAGATGGCTGGTTGCTTCCTATAAAAATCCCTTGAAAAATAAACCATGACAGAAATGAGTGATTTATTATCACCCTGACTGCTGGCAGAGAAATCTCAGAAGAGGAGAGAATTGATGTTGCTTCCTGCTGGCATTTCCACCACAGGGCCAGCCCCATGTGCTTTCTTCCTGCGCCCAGGCAGGAAGCAGCTTTCAGGCGGGGGCTCTCTTCTCACTCTTCACAGGCTTCACACTTCCCTCTGGCCAAAACATGCCCAAACCTTTGGGGGCCAGACTTGCCATGATGTCACAGGACCAGGTGGGGACCGCTGGGTCCTTGGGGAGCTCCCCTCCGAGCACACAGCTGCCATCCCATTACCAAAGTCAAGTGGCAGGAGAACAGGGCTCTCCTCACCTGAGGACTTCGCAGAAGCCACTGCCCTGTGAAGTCCTTGCGGTCACGGCTCCGGAACAGATTCTGCCCAAATGGCAGGGTAGCACTGCCCTTAATAATTTGCTCTGTTAGGATACGAGAAATTGTATTTTGAGCACTTGTGGTATGTCTTACAGCAAGTCCTTAACATACAAGATCCTATGTGCTTCTTCTCAGCAATTGGTATCACTAGCACTCCTGTTTTACGGGGGAGAAAACAGCCATGCAAGCGACCAAGCAGGAGAGAAGCTAGACCAGGCCTCTAGCACCCAGACTCCTTCTTGTACTATGTAACAGTGGCTGCAGTTTCCTGACCACTATGTGCCAAACCACATGCCGAGCCCTCTGCAAACACCAACTCCTTCCATCCTATAGGATGAGAATTGCCCTGACAGATGAGGAAATGGAGGTTCAGAGTGAAGTCAGTTGTCTAAAGAAAGATTTTCAACCACAGGTGGATACAAATCTTCCTAGCTCCACAGCTCCAAGGACAGTTTTCTGAAAATAATTGCATTGTGCTCCTCTGCTGCGTTGAAATGGCACATGGGGTGGTGGGGACAGTTTTGGTAGGAGCCTGGACTCAGATTTTTAAGATCTGGTTTCCAATCTGGATTTTGCTCCCTTTGCTGCATTTCCATGCCTCCAGCAAACAACCAGAGAATACATGAAAATAATGTCAGGGGGGCTGGAGCTCTCCTACCCTGTTGCTCAAGTGCAAATGGACCAGCCTCTCTGGAGAGCACCGTGGCAGTGTCCAGGAAAGCTGAAAAGGCATGTATTCATAGCCCAGACATTCCACATGGACGAGAACACCAGGGGGCATGAAAAGGATGCTTGTTGTTTGTACAAGGGAAAGAACTTAAATATCCATGACAGGAGCGATGAGCAAGACCTGCTGCATTCAGATGCCAGACTTCCGCAGGCAAGGAACCAGCTAAAGACAGATAATGAATGAACTAGATGTAGGTAGATGAACACAGGTAATCATCAAAAGTTGGGTGACAAAAGCAAGCTGAAGAGCCCTAAGACAGCCCAAACAACAAGCTTACAGGTTGATCCTGGCTGTGTGTCTTGGAGAGGGGAAGCACTTGGGATGACCATGCAAGAGGGAGGAGGGCTTGAAAGGATTGAACTTGATCAGTCATGCTTTATTCCCTTTACAGTAAAAAACAAAAAAAACCCAAAGGCAAAATATTTGATTTGTTAATTTTACGTGGTATACTCCTGGGAATTTGTCCTGTTATTTTCTGTACTTTTCTGTGAATTAAACCTTTGGAAAAAATAAAAACCCATGTGAAGCTACATGCTGGCGTCTGATGGCCCTCCTGGTCAGTGAGCAGCGAGCTGTCTGCCGCAGGTTGGATGACTGGGGCCAGGCGCTCTTCTGAAGGACTCAAATTTCTTGTTGACACATGTTCCCCAGTAGCAGTGAATGCAGAAAACAGAGGTGGGCTGTCTTGATAGCTGCAGCCAAGAGATCTTTAAAAAAAATCTGGGCATTCTGCAATGTTACGGGTTCTTGAAGTCAGCAACATTTTTCTGTAACCCAGATTCCTCACTGATTGATACAGAATATTTACTTTCAATGTAACCCTTCACAGTTCAATTTTTTAAATACAGTTTATATAAAGATACTGTCCTCCTGACACACTTGATCAATAAAATGAACAAGATACTAAGAAACTGTGCCTATAAAACAGGTTTGAAGATTAAACAATAATATCCTCAAACTTGCAAATATTAGATTGCTATGAGGATACAGGAAGTATGCAGAGCTGGTTCTTGTCACTGTCAAGAGTAACTTAAATAACGGTGAGTTACCTCATGTCTTATCTCCCAGTCTGTGAACAGAATAGCTACAGTAATTGTATTCTAGCATAATATACATGTGTTTTTTTTTTTTTTTTTTTTTTTTTTTTTTATAGAGGCATGCTTTATTTATTTGTTTGCTGGTTTGTTTGTTTGTTTGTTTATACATGCACTGGGTACAGTCAGAAGCGCGGGAGGGTGAGAGAATTCACCAGAGCCAGAGCGGGGAGCAGAGCAGGCAGAAGGACCGAAGTACACTGCTGAGGGGAGCAGCGGGCGGCAGGAGAGGTCTGCTCGCCATGTGGGACCCTCCTCCGGTGGCCGGGGAGCAGCTGGGGATCGAACCGGCGCCGCAGAAGCCGCGGGCAGCTTCACAACCCAGCGCTAAACCGCTGCGCCACCGGGGAGGCCCAATATACATGTGTTTAAGCCTAATTTCTCCTTTGCTATTTTTGTTATTGCTGTTGTTTTATTCAGAATAAAATTAACCTGAATTAAAAAAAAAATCTAGACACTGTGGGCAGCATTGGTTCACAGGCCCATAGAGATGCAAATGGATTGAGAGGGTAAAATACAAATCCTTTTTTTTTTTTTTTAAAGATTTGTTTATTTATACAAGAACCAGGGTACAGGCCAAATGTGGGGGGTGGGGGGGGTGTGAGAGGATTCACCAGAGACAGAGCGGGGAACAGAACAGGCAGACTGCCTGAAATACACTGCTGAGGGGAGCAGCGGGTGAGGCAGGAGAGGTCTGCTGTGCCATGTGGGTTGCTCCGCCGCCGGTGGGGATTGAGGCTGCGGACAGCTTCACAGCGCTGAGCTCAACCGCCTGCGCCACCAGGGAGACCCAAATGCTTTTCTTCTGTTCCTGGTCTTAGGTCATGTACGCTGGTCCGGTGTTAAATATTAAAATATTAATTAATTACAAAGCAAGGGGTCCTCCAGGGGTTCCCACTCTGCCACCTGAAAACATGGGCAGATTTAGATTAGAAAAGAATCTCGTGACTGCTCCTCTCTCCACCAGCACAACCACAGATGGGACAATTACAGAAACAGAAAGCATTATTCGAACAGGCTGAGCTCATAATATTAGTGTGGATTTTAAAAAAAATCACTTCTTGGCCAGGAATTAAAAATAGCTTGTTCTCCCCCCCTCCCTCACCCTATTCCTCTCTTTCTCTCTCACCAGATTTAGAATCTGAGAAACCTTGAGGGGTCACCTAGTTAGTATTCCTATGGCACCTCATATTTGCAACATGCTTGAGAATCATTTCCCTTTAAACACTAACATCCCTGCCAGGGAGTTCCAAGTTATTAGCTCAGATTTAAATGCAAGAGGATGGAGGCAGAGAGGCAGAAACCTACCTGAGGAGCTGATTTGGAGATTCCACTGAAATTCTAGACTTGGTGCCAAAATTGTAGCACCCAAGGAGAGAGGAGTTATAGTTCCTCCTCCTCATCAGTCCCCTTTCATCTATCCTTAGTTGGTTCTTTGCCACCTTAGAATTAAAGGAAAAAAGTCACTAAAGACGTTAATGGCACTTTTTACTATAGACATGGAAACTGAGGGCCATGGGAAGTACCTAGCCAGGAGCACAACAGGTGGCTTCAGGCCCTATCTGGGGGACTTCTTTTTTATTACCAACCTTCTCCACTTACATGGGTTGAATAGTGTCCCCTCAAAAAAAATTCATGTCCGCCCTGGAGCCTCAGAATGGGAACTTACTTGGAAGTAGGGTTTTGCAAATGTAATTATTTAAGTCACGAGGTCACACTGGATTTGAGTGGGTCCTAAATCTAGTACTGGTGTCCTATAAGAAGACTAGGACAGCCAAGAAGGAAGGCCACGGGGACAGAAGTCATGTGCCCACAGCCAAATCTGCCAAGGAGCCCCGGGAGCCACCAGGAGCTGCAAGGAGCCGGAAGATCTTCCCCCTGAATTTTCAGAAGCAGCACAGCCCTGCTGACACCTTGATATCAGACTCCTAGCCTCTAGAATGGTGAGAGAATAAATTTCTGGGCTTTCACACCATCCACGTTGTGGTACTTTGTTATTGCCATCCCCGAACTCACCCCCCCCCAAGGTGGGACCATCCATTCCCACGGGCACCTTTTGTCTCTAGGTGATGCTTCTTGTCCTTGACTTCTGCTGTCTGCACAGGACAATCAGATGATGTGGCGGGAGGCAGCAGCAGGCTCCCCAGTTAGGAAAGCACATCTAGAAAGTCTGACACTCGAGTGCTGCCTGGTACCAATTTTGAAAAATAAAAATTCTTGTAATAAAATGATTCATTCCAACCAGGGAACAAGGTCAGCGTGCTTTCCAAAAATAGAAAAGCAGTTCTCACTTTGCTTTTTCCTCTCCCTTTCTTCTCTCCTTCCCTTCCCTTCATTTTTTATTTTTCTCTTCCTTCTTCTTTCACTAATATCAGAATACCAACTTGAACAAGTTGGAATTACATGATTCTGGAATCCTAGCCCGCTAGATTCAACGCAGAGGAAGACACCCTAGTGCTTCTTCCAAATTCATATTTATCCCCTCAAAAAAGAATTGCTGAAATTCCACTGACTCAACATCATTGAGTAACAAAATCACACTTTGTTGAAACTGCCTAAATGCTTCGCGCCAGCCCCTGGCTCCTCCTGGGGTCCTGCTGCTTCGTGTTCTGGAAACCGCTCGCAACCTGTTTCAGGACCATCTTGAGCACAGGCTCCCTGCAGCCTCTCCTGAGCTTACTTTCTGGAAAGCTCTTTTCCAAGCCCAGGCTTCTTGGCTTTCCTATGCAGACAGATCACCTCAGCGAGTCTTGTACAATGACCCTTTCTGATGCTGCAGCGTGGGGCATGTTTCCAACAGGCCTGGTGATCGCCGGGCGCTGGTCTCAGGTCCACAGTTTGAGGGGTCAGGGTTCCCCATCACCTGTCTCTGGCCCACAAATGACTTCTCCCTGGTGCACCTCTGTAAAACCCACAGGTTACTAACACCACCTTATGGTCTGAGAGCAAAATACATATTGACTGGCCCTGATGAAGTAAACAGCGCCTGGGGCACTGGGAGAGTAAGCCTCTCTCTGCTGTGGCTTTTGATTTCCCTGTGCTCTTTGAGAGCTTTGGAACTACTTTCACATCAGACAGAATTCCTTCACTGTCCCCTTGTGATAAACAAGCATTTTGAATGTAATAAGGTTCCCACTACAAAGAATTATAATTAGAAACAATACAAGCTGCCCCAAACCTGGTTGATGGCCCTGCCTTTGTTTGAAACTGTTGCTAAACA